CCATAGCCTCGAGCACCAACGCTCAGCAGCAGCTGTGTGCACCATCTACAAAATGCACTGCAAAAAATCACCAAGGCTTTTTAGACAGCACCTTCCAAACCTATGACCAATTCCATCTAGAAGAAAAAGGGCAACAGGTACATGGGAACACCTCCGCCTAAAAGTTTTACTCCCAGCCACTCACCATCCTGATTGGAAATACATTGCTCTTCCATCAGTCTCACTTGGTCAAAATCCTGGGGAACTCCCTCCCAAATGGCAATGAAGTGGCTCAAGAAGGCAGCTCACAACCTCCTTCTCAATGGCAGCTAGTGATGGGCAATACATGCTGGCCCAGCCAGTGATGCCCACATCCCGTGAATAGACAAAAAAAGTGGCATCTTCCTATAGCTGGTACCTCTCCCTAGGATGCCTAAAAGAAACTGCAAACTGAAATTAATGTGACTTTAACTTCGAAACAAATGCATGGTGTTCTCTCATTTCAGTGTCCAGCCTGTCTCCACTCTCTGGTAACCAGCGACACACACTGACCGACTTTTGGGATTTTTCTGTTTCTTTGTGTCATGGACCCTTTTTGCCAGGCAGTAGAACAATCTGTTTTTAATTCACTGAAGTATTAATCACCTTGAACAAAACAGAAGTTGCTAGAAATGCTCAGTTCTGAGTTCTGAGGAAGGGTCACCGGACCTGAAATATTAACTCTGATTTCTTTTCTTCACAGATGCTGCCAGACCTGCTGAGCTTTTCCAGCAACTTCTGTTTTTGTTCCTGATTTACTGCATCTGCAGTTCTTTTGATTTTTATTAATCACCTTGGCTCTTCAAGTCAAGATTCAATGTCTCATAAAAAAGTAAGTTAAGAAACAAACCTCCAGAGTTTTAAGCACTATAACCACAAGCTCACAAATTAATTTCCTAAAATGACTAACCATGTCTTCCCCTTCTTAACATAACAAAACATAATGTAAACATAAAGTTATGCATTGTTTTTAACTCTTTGGAACAGAATTTCAGTAGGCCAAATATGACTATGGCTGACAAACATTAAGATGAAACTTAAATCTTGTTTTGATTTTTATACTTTTCCTGGAACTTGCATTCAGTTTTACTCTTTATCTTTATTTTGAACATAACTCATTTGTCTGACCATTTGTGTCAGACACTTTTCACCTGCTACAGCCCATCAATCACAAATATACAGAATCATGCCAAAATAGCCCTCACTCTCCTCTGTCAATTACAGGATTGATTATTCACAATTTATCAGTCAAATTGTATCATGATTCTGGTCACAGGTAAGAAGACTGTATCGTGCTGCCTATTTTGGAGTCAAAATTAATTCTCTAGGGCCAACACTCCAGGATGAAGTTCTGTGTTAAGCAAAGGTTATGTGTACAGCTTTCAACAAATCACAAAAGATGTCCAAAGTGAATATCTTACCTGAGCAATTCCTATACCATGTAACTCATGCTTTATTAATCCCTTCCATCTTCAATGCCAGTTTGGCACATCACTCTGTGTATGCTTCTTAAAACAAAAGCTTTTAAGGTGCTATTGGATGGACTTCATAGCAGACTTTAACAATTCTTAAATCAGTCACAATTTAAATTTTCTGATTTAAGCTCAAATTTGTAGCACCAAATTCCCACTTTTCTTAAAACAATTAGCTAATTCAATAATTTGGCATAAAACATGCCAGATTTAACAGGGATAAGCTAGTTTTAGGAGCTTACGACCAGCAGTTGATATCAAATTGAGACGCAGCAGTCACTTCTCACTAGTTCCTCGGCTGGGAAGATAGCTGCTCTAATGAAAATACACCACTAGAAGAAGGGGAATGTAGAGTACATCAACATAGAAGTTCGAGTGTTTACCAAAAGTTGAAGTGGTCTTTCTCTCCAAGTGAGCAATAAGAGATTCATTTTAAAAGTAAAACTCAGCTTGCAATGCAGCTTTAGAATTAAAGACACGGTTTGATCCAAAAAAACAGTGCACATGAATGAAGAATTCTGTCAGTTTGACCCCTATTAATCCATTCATCCATACTGGGCATAATCCATTAATATATGGGTAGGTAGCAACTGGGAAACTATTTAATTTGGATACTGTGTTGTTGTCAGGTCAAGCGTAAACCATTTGAAAAATATTATTCACTTCAGCAGGGACAGAAGATGAACTCATCATTAGCAATATGGATACCACCATTTTGATGCACATTTCAATGGCTCTGGTAATAGAGGAAGTGGGGTCATGTTAATATCACTGGACTAGTAATCTGGAGTTCTAGGATAATGCTCTGGGGACAAGGGGACAATCCCATCATGGCAGATGCTGAAATTATAATTTAATTAATAAAGTTGGAATTTAAAAACTAGCCCAATGGTGATCATGAAACAATTGTGAATTATATAAAAGAAACTGGTTCACTAGTACTCCTTAGGAAAGGCAATAAACTGTGATGTTAGTTCGGAGTCAAATGTATCGTGGTTGACTCTTCACTGGCCTCTGAAAGTATGCTAGAAAGCCATTCAATTATATCTAATTGCTACAAGGCCTAAGTGAAAACTTACATTGAAGGACAAGCTGGTCAACCTCGGCATCAATAATGAACAGTCATCCCTAACATCCTCCTAACATCTAGGAACTTATGCCAAAATTGGTAGAGTTGTCCCACAAACTAGTCTAATATAGGCTTTCCTTGCAAACACCATCATTACAAAATCAAAGGTAGCAGTATACAATTGAGAGGAAGTTGAATCCTCAACATTGATTTGGATCCTATGATTTCTCTTGCCATCAGGTCAAACATGCACAAATAAATCTCCTGCTCATTACAACTTATCTCTGCTTTGGCTAATGAATCAACACTCCTCCATGTAGAACATCAATTGGAGGGAACACAGAGGTAAGAGTACATAGAATACATTGTGGGGACTTCAAAATCCATTACCGAGGGTGGTTCAGCAACACTGCCAGTGGTCAGGTTTGTTGTGTCTGAAGGGACATAACCGCTAGACTAGGTCTGCAGCACACGTGACATTGCCTTCTCTAAACTACCTTTCATGTATGCACTTATCTATGACAATACAGGTAGGAGAGAGAGCACTGCACAGTCCTTGTGTAGGTGAAAACCTGTCTTCACTTTTCGAATACCCTCCACTGTTTTATGTGGTATTCACACCATGGTAAAAAGAATAATTTCTGAACAGATCTAGCAACTCAGGACTGGGCATCCATGAGGTGCTGGCCACCAGCAACAGCAGCTGAACTGTAG